GCAATGGTTAATCCTTGTGTAAGAAATGAGATAAATATTTTGGGTGGGGAAGGGAAGAAACTTCTTCATTTTGGAAGGTAGGGAGTTTTTATAAGATATAGAAAAGGCTGACATCATTCTGTGAGAGCACCTCATGAAAGAGGTGGCCAGCATCTAATTTTTCCCTGTCAACATCACCAACAGGACAGAAATATAGTAGGATCAGAGGGAGTGGTTCTAGGCTCATCAGCCTACCTCTGTTCCTGCTGACATTCCCGCGTCTGGCCTGAGGCTCTCTCCAGCTCTGCAAGGAATACAATCTGGAGGTTTTTTCCTACCTAGGCAATCCTTAACCACACGGTGATGGTGTCGGTGACGGGAGCCACAGAAGAAATGCCCCAGGTTCCCTGTCTTGGGAAGAATGATTTTGAAGAGTACTGTCAATTGGTTTCCAGCCAGAGAGAGTTGCCATCCTTACTAATGTATGTTTCCCTGGCATGTCTCTCTGCCCCTTTTCCAGCCTCCACTTCATTATGTGTACTTTCTAAGGTCTGCCTACCTTAATAAGATAAGGATTTGGGTAAAGAAGTTGAGAGCTGCTAGTAGGTAAAACTAAACTCAGGGTTGCTGCCAGAGGAGTCAGGACAGATGCAGCAGGGCTGGGTGGTTAGAAAAGAAAAACTGGGGGAGGCTGTCCCAGAACAATCTCCCAAACCTGTCTGGGGACTCTGAAGGGCAAGTGGGACAATAAACAGGTAGCTATCTGGCCACAAAAAGGAGAAGCAGGAATGGCACAGTTCTCACGGGGCTTCTGATGGGAGACCACCCAGACAATGCTTTTCAATCACATGCACTTGTCACCTCGTGGCTGCCCACCTGTATAGCTGTCACCCTAACAACAAAACATACAGAGCTTTTTGCCAAGAGATTGCTGCCTCAATGTCTTGCTCACTTCTAGATTCTGAGTCCCTGCCCCACCATGCTATCACCATGACCTCATATCCTACTGCCTGAGATGTGAGCTTCTACTCCACGTCCAGCTTCTTCTAAGCCAGGTAATCTGCTTACCGATCCCAAACTCAGCCTGCTCCTCCTGTGTGTGTGTGCAGTCACAGTACAGTTTGAGACTACATGGCTAGAAGTGATCACCCCTGATTAATCACAGGGCCACGAGGTGACAGCACCATACTAGACATGTAGGTGTTTGATTATCTGTACTGTAGACAGCAACTAAGAGACACTAGTATGCTCTGACAGCAGCTTTCAAAAGTATCCAGAGCCAACTTGAGAGCACCCTGTGGTCAAAGTTGGAAGTAAATGAGTGAAAAATGAACAATAATAGGATTTGTTTACAACCTACCGTACATAGTGAGCACCCAGTTGAATCAGTAAATAATGGTGAGCAATGGACTTTTCTTTATAGAAGAATTCCAGAGGAAAAATGCGGGCAGAATAAGCAAACTAAAAAACCTCTACTAGAACAACACAGTGATAATTATGTCATATACTCTCCTCTGATTACAATTAGTCAGAGAAGTTTAAGGAAAAATAAGGTATTTGTGTAGTGAAAGTATCACTCTTGCTGTAAGTTAATTGCAAGAGAAAGGTAACTTTACAGTGAAGAAATTTGGTGGGTACTGTTGTAAATGGTCAGGCTTACTTACCAGTAACAAGACATATTAACATCACATATACCCCGAGAGGGCATGATGGCATGCTGGAAAGGGCGGGCACATTTCTGCAGTATTCCTCCCCAAAGTGAATAGCCTTAATCTAATCATGAGGTTAAGGTGCACACACATCTAGCCACAGGCAGGATACACAGTGCATACAAATCTGTTTGCAGTTGCAAATATGCAGCAAGAGCTCCTTGAGGGGATCAGTTTGGAGATATTTCTGGGTGTCCCCTCTAGCTATTTTTCTATCTTCTTTTTGGGGATGACTCTACAAAATAACGCGTTAGTCCTCTTCAAGAAAAGTGCCGAAGTCATGAATGACAGTCAAACTCTTGCAGATGGAGGATTTTAAGGACTTGAGTCAACTCAGTTGGCAGAGGCTGGGGTGTCTAGATTCTATTCTGGATCCCAAGAAATGTACGTGAAGGTAAAAACTGGTAAAATCATAGAATCTAAATTCTGCAATTTAGCTAACAGGGAACTAAGGATAATTCCTCAGTTTTAGTTGGTAAGATGTTAATTCTAGAGGAAGCTGGATGAAAGGTAGACAGGAGCTCCTTACTATGATTACAACTGAAGCTAACATGGCCTGTGCAATTAAAGTGTTAGGACAAACCGCAACAGAGAGATTTGGGGGGGCTGCAGCATGAGATTAGGGCAAGAAATAACATAACATACAGAAAAGGATTTTGGAGCCAAAGAAGCTAAGAAAAATGAGTACTCTGATTGGGAGTACAGCTGTCAGGGTTTGCAACTGAGTCTGAGGGAGCCATCCAGAGTGACTGCTGGTTTCTAACATGAGTCACTGGATACATTCCTCAAGGTGGAAAACAATGGATTTGGTAAGCAGCAGGAAGATAAGCATGTCATGTGGGTTATAAGGTGCTCATGTGACATCAGGTGGGGATGGGCGGAATGTAGTTAAAAGATAACTGGACAGCTTCAGCGAGATCTGCTCTAGAGATATAGAGCTGAGAGTGACTGCCATGTAGGTGATGGTTGAAACTATAGAGTAGAAAAAAATACAGGGCCAAGGAAGGATGACTAATAAACCCTAACTATTCCAGGAGTGCATAGTGAAGACAAAAGTAGACATCACAGGCAGAGAAGCAGGGCAGCAAGAGATAACAGGAACCCCCCAGGCTGTGGGATGGGGGTGAGACATTCAGTAGTGTCAGCTGCTGCAATATGCCTAAGGAGGTCAAGGCTGACCACTGGTGATGCTGGTAGGAAGAGCTGGTGCATGCACCGGGTAGGCCTCCAGCCTGGACCTCAGAAGGGAATGATTAGTGGTGGTGGAAGCAGAGAGAGAGAGTGCCAAACATTCTTTCTGAGAAAGCTGGCTTGGAAAGAAGGAAGATAGAGATAGAAAAATAGCCGAAGGGGAACGCAAGATCAGAGGGGACACCCAAAAATATCTCCAGACTGAGCACGTCAAGGAGCTCTTGCTGTATATATTCAGCTGCAATCTGCGTGCAGGCACTGCGCATCTGGCCTGTGGCTCTCTGTGTGCACCTTTGGCCCACAGTGGGTCTAACTGTGATGCCTCTTTTCTCAACCTCTCATCAGCACCTTTCCAACACAGGGGAGCAGAACCTAGATAATCTCACCTGCGGTACTGTAACTGCAGGCCTCAGAGGGGATGATGGACAGTCTGCCACCATTTCCTGAGGCAAGGTGCCTTCACACACACGTCCTATTACCCCACAGCCACATTCCACCAGTGTAGGACGCTTTCGGGATAGTTTGAGATCCCAGCTGAATCTCAGGTGCAAGAGGAGAAAACTGCTGTTACTACAAGGGAAGCTCCCTGAATGTCAGGATTTTCCAGACTGTTCTGTTGTACTGACAAGCATTTCAGTATTAACATTCATTACTACTGAAGTTTGAGAACCAAGTCAGTTTAGTTTTCTAAACATGGCTAGTTTTTTTTAGTCATTCAATATACTGGAGGACGTGCTGGTAACCTGCCAGTAGAGAGAAGACCTGGTTTCTGCCTTTAAGATACCCACATCCAGAAAGGGCTACAAACATGGGACATCTTCAGTAAGGTGTGTATATACACGTGTGTGTATGTGTCAGAACACAGAAGAAAACAGGACGATCACTTCTATGTTGATGATTGTGTTGTAAGAGGGAGGCCCCTTTGGAAGGATGAGCTATTGTGGGTGAAGGAAGAAGAGCGCCCTAGAGGGGGAAGGAGTCACACAGGTAAAAGAGTGGTGCAGACATGCACAGCATACGTAACAGCAGTGGTTTGCATAGAAACAAAACCGACGAGAGCGAAGAGAGAGATTTACTTGGCACTCACCCGTGTCAGGCACTTTTCTAATTTTCTAAGCAGTCCACATGCCTGAGCCACGTGTGGGAGTGGCTGGAGGTGAGGCTGAAAAGGCGGCTGGGGGTCAGGTGATGAAATGCTTGGAATGCTGGACTAATGGGCTGGACTCTGTCCCACCGGCTGCAGGGGAGGAGGGCTGCCACAGAGTTAGAAGCAAGTACTGGCAGGATTAGACACGGGGGTTAGAAAAGCTTCCTCTGTTGGCTGTGGAGGGAATGGTTTGGAGTGGTTAAGATGGGGAGCGAAGAGGTGAGTTTAAGTTGGTTTTAATTGTTCAGACAAGTAAAAGGGCAGGGAGGATGGACTCAAGAGGATTTTGAGCAAGAAGAAATGAGCCTTGGAGAGACCCACCCCCTAGAGGGATGGGAGGCGGTTTCTGTGCACTTGGGGGAGAAGACCTCGGGGAAGTAGATGAGGACCCTGTGTAGTGTCCACAGGTTGGGGTGCCGGGGGCACAGCTAAGAGAATGAGTTAGAATTTAGGGAAAGATTCAGGTACAGTGAGAGGAAATGCAAAGTAATCAAGCTGAATTCTCCTTTCCCTCCAAGCCAGCCGTACATTCTTGTGTGAACAGCTGTGAAATGAGCATGGACACTCACGCAGAGGCCAGACCTCAGAGGCATGTATCCATATGTACTTCCCCCCAGCCTGGAGAGGGACACACACATGCATAGGTGACAGGTACATACACAAACAGAGCCGCAGAGGTGTGCTCACAAATGCATGACTTCCTGGAGAGGGTGAGGCATGCTTTAGTGCTACCCTAGGCCCTTCCTCTTCCCCGGGGATGACCCCCGGTTGCTGGGGGAGCAGCCATATCTGGCCAGAAAGGCTCCCTCTGTGATTCGTTCTAGTATAACATACCACACTCTGCCCATCTGTACTCCACTTCAGGTGAACCAGAGCACCCGAGAACAGCAAGTTCTGAGAGCAACTTCCAACTAGAAGAGACCCATCGCCTGTTGAATACAGACATCCCCTGCAACAGCCAAGCCTCCTCTTACCAAACAGCTTCTGCAGGACTTGTCCATCATACAAATCTTCAGCCAGGTCTTTCACAATGATTCTTTCTCCAACCAAGACATCATTAATCCAGTCAATTAATACCTTGAAGAGAGCAAAAGGAAATGAGAGTAGAATCGTCACGGGGCATTTTCTTACAAGCTTTGTTATCCTGGACAGAATTTAAGAGCACTTCACATTTCTCATCCAGCAGAACCATCCCCAAGACCCAGCGTGTGGACAACGCTGTGAGTAAGCATCCCACGGGGCTGTTATTTGCAGGTGTAAATCCCAGTGTGCCAGTGTTTGGGGCCCTTGCTGGCCCCCTACCATTCCTTACCCTAGTGGCAAACAATGCTCACACAGATACCAGGTGGGGGTGAAGATGGGCTTTGGCATGCCAGGCATTGGTGTTGAAACCCCCATTTAGCCATTGATCAACTTGTGCACCGCTGATGAGACCTGTGAACCCATGTTCCAGATATCTACAGACCTGTGTTTTATACCTCTGGGGTCTATGAGCAGCTAGTTATCTATTCTGACCCTGGTTCCCCACCTTGAAAAGTGACGATGAAAATATCTCCTACATTAGGTAGCAGAAAAGAATTGCCTATGGCCAGGACTGACCCCTCAGCAAGTACAGATCTTAATAATGTTTTAATACTGTACTCATTCTGACACTTGATCAGTCGGTTCTTGTCATTCTGTTCAGGAAGGGAGTCAAATACAGCTGTGAACAATTTGCACAAGGTCACGGAGCTGCCTGGAGGAGGAGAACTTGAACCCTTATCTACCTCATGCTGAAGCACCTATCACTAAGCTGCGTCTCAGTGGGGCCACATCTTAGTAAGTGCCATTACCTCAGGGCCTACTGTCCAGGTACTGAGCAGAGGTGACCCATTTCAGTAACCCACATAACTCCCCTGAGAGGCAGAACATTAGCTTCATTTATCAGGTAAAGAAACTAAGCTTGTACAAGTTAATGCTTATTAAATTATTTTGATGACAGAAAGACCAACAGTAACTATCAAGTTTGAGTTTTGGTCATTGTACAGTTGTGTAAGCAGCGAGACTGAGAGTGGTCCCCTCCCTCCAGGCTTCCTCTGCTCTCCATGCCTTCCCATGACCACTGGCCTCAGGGTAACCACTATAGTGTCGCTTTTTTTTTTTTTTGACAATTTCATGTAAATGGAATCACACAGAACATTGTCTCTCATGTGAGACTTAGCATAAATAAATCACTTTTACAGTATACTCATCTATAAAAAGGGGGTGAAATGAAATCCCACTTCTCAGGGTACCTTTCGGGCTCCCAGAGGAAAGCAGTGAAAGGACTAAGCGGCAAGTTCCTGCAAAGGCGAGTGTGTCTCCACCAGTGTCTTCAGCACCCAGCATTGGTCAACACCACTTGCTAAAAGCACTGTTTATGGGCCACAATTTAGACTCCACCCTGACCTGCAGGCAGACACTGCTGGGACCTTTCATTCCATCTGCCCTAATGCTTCCCAATTTTCTTACCTTCATCAGTTCTTGGAGTTTGGGGTCACTGCGTGAGTTTGGATCCACCATTGTTCGAACTTCGTTCTCCTCTTTAGAAAGAAAAGGAAATCAGTGAGGTGCTTCTACTGGTGACAGAAGGCTGCCCAGAAGAGACAAGAGACCCACTTACCCAGCATCGTGTCCTCGGGGTCTAACTCGAAAGGGATCGGGTTGAGGGGCAGGTTAATGGCATTCATGCCCTCTTCCTGAAGCTCCGAGACTGTGAGGAGAAGGAAGGCAGAGTCAGGGTGCAGACCACTGATGGGGATGGGGGAGTGTGGATGGTGCATGAGAAGTAATAGGGGTGATTGGGTAGGAATGTGTGAAGGGGTGGGGGGGTCAGGTGGGGAGGTCAGGTGGGGCGCTGCATTTCATATTGATATATGCACATAAACCACTAAGGTTCGATTACTCAGCCTGCAATCGCGTCCTCGCCTCTTCTTTCTCAAAGGGCCCAACTGTCCCTTCCTCACACCTCTTCCAACTGTGAACTCACTCCCCATGAGTATTCTCAGTGGCACAAAAATAGGCCTTCTCTCAGAAATGATCTTAGAATAAACAGGAATGAGGTGGGCACTGACCTTGTCAGTCTCAGTTTTTCACCTTCTGGCTTCCCTGAGAATTGTTCTGAACCATACCTCCCCTTTCCTTCATCCTCCTGGCCCCAGGGCACCTTGCCCACCCAGACCCATTTCCTCAGCTGACCAGGAGGGGCTCCACTGATACCCAGCAAATGCTCTTAGTTTGCAAACCCTCAACATCTACAATGGCACTTTCTTCAAGAAAAGTAAGAGGTCGATGACCATTAGAGACTTACAGCCCACTTTCTTCCATGTACCCACCCCCAACAGGAAGACTTAAAAAAATCATGTCACAAAACTAGTGGTGTGTTGGATACTTGCTGAGCACTGACCTTGGATTACCTCTGTGAAAGCAGTGACTTAAATCTCCTTACCTCTATTCATTCCAATCTGAATAATTTCACTTCAAGGCCCTCCCTGGTGGTGCAGCGGGTTAAAGCACAGCACTAAGAAGCTAAAGCCACTTCCACATGAGTTCGATTCCCACCTGCCCCGGAGTTGACCACATGGCATGGCAGACCTCTCCTGACCCGCCTGCTGCTCCCCTCAGCAGTGTACTTCGTCCATCTGCCTGTTCTGCTCCCCACTCTGTTCCTAGTGAATCCTCTCACCCTCTGCATCTCTGGCCTGTACCCCAGCTCTGTATGAATAAATAAATAAATCTTTAAAAAAAATAATTACGCTTCATCAATTAAGCCCACAAAGACCATTTTCTCTGAAGATGTTGCTCACCAAGTTTCTTAAGAGCTAATATGCTTTAGGAAAAGCAATGTCCCATCTTTCCATTATATATATATATATTATATATATATATATAATATATATATATTATAATATATATATAATATATATATATATATATAGTTTACTGACTGGTCACACCAACTTGCCAGCATATACTTGCAAGAACTCTTAAGCACCAGGCAGCCACTTACAAAGAGTCCTTTCATATTAGCAAACTCACTGATGGTTGCAGTGGACAGGGAAGGGGGATTGCCTAACAAAGAAAGTGGAACACACTCTACCCTAAAGAGACACAACTCACATTATGAAGCTGATATTTAGTCCTGTTGCTGTGGGTCCTTGACATTCATATGGGATATCAGCCAGTCACTGTCTTGAATCTCTAAATTCAAAGACACCCACCAATGCATGTAATTTTCCATAAAACATAACTGAAAAACTTAAGAGACATCTTCATGACTTAAATGATTTCAAGTATAGGACTGCCTTTGCTTTCCAGCAAAAAACAAATGCCCCCTAAGTATATTATCTTTTATATTCCCCCTATTTAGCATTCTGCATTTTTATCCAAACTATTTCTCCCAAAGAAGAGTTCTACTACTTAACCAGCACCGTTATGCAAAGCACTGGAAATAAAGTCACATTTAATGTAGGTACCAGGCTGGGCTTACTGGCCAGTGAAGATACTAGCTTCTGCCAGCACCTTCTCTCCTCAATCTACATTCCCCCCAGGTCTCCACTGTCCAGCAAGGTAGCCATTAGCCATAGCAGAAATTTAAATTGAAATAAAAAATTCAGACTCACATTTCTAGTGCTTGGTGGCTCACATGTCATTAGAAGGTACCATACTATACAGCACAGATATAGTAACTTCCATCATCACAGGGAACTCACCTGGGAGGTAGGGACCAGGGAGGTAGTGACCAGGTGACCCCATAGATCTGAGTGCTAATGATAATGATGTCCACATCACCTGTTCACGTTAAATCTCCAGCCTGGCCCTGACCTGCGCGCTCCAGGCTTACTTCATGTCTTCCCACCTCCCATCCCCCCACCACACACAGTTTGGGAACATCATTTCCACCTTATCCTATCTGTCCTGACCATTTACGACCAGAGGCAATTTGTGAATACAGAGATATTTATACCCCTAGGAATGCAATGTTTCCAGCCAGAACTCCTAAAGGTGGATCTGCATGGGATTTCTTTTTCTGCCTAGATTGCTAAAGATGTTTTCAGATGAAAAAATCCAAGTCAGAAACATCCCTCTCCACCCTCCCTGCCTCTTTAATTCACTCTCAGAGACATAACAAACCAGAGCAGAAAGGCAGAGATATGTTTGCAATTGCAAATGTTTTTTTCAGGAAATCACTCAGTACAGGAACATCATTCCCATCCCATTAACTGCTGACTCGGAGCCAACTGTTTGTAAAAGTGAATATGCAAACTGCCCTGTCCAGGCCTGGACCCCCGCCCCATGGGGCTGCATTAGTGGCCACTTTCCCAAAACAGCCCGCCTGCTTTGGAGGTTTTATTTCTATTAAACCAAAGCAGGACCCAGCAGAAGCCCCTCACCAATCCCGCCAATCCCTGTGCTCCGAAAGAGAAAAGAGCTGCAATTGAATTTTCTCAGCATGGAGTAAGAATATTATGTTTACCCCTTAAACCTCCCCTAACCCTCTAAAACTAGGTCTGAATGCGCAGCTCTTGGTGTCTCGCAGTACCATTAGTCATAACTTAATAAACAGATTAAATGCCCAGCCAAAGGTCGGGCTTGAGAAAGCCGGAGAGCAGCCCTGAATGCCCGCCAGGAAAAAGGGGCTTTGGCTTTTCTGGAAATGCAGGCTGACTCCGGGCTTAGCTGCACCCAGAAAGTACATGGATTGGCTCTGGAGTTTGCAAGCGCTGGATTTGAATCCTACTTTTATTTTTATCAGCCATGGGATCTTATGTAAGAGGTCTAACCTCTTGGAAGTCCTGTATAAAACAATTCTTAATAAAACAAGGGCGTAGCTGACACTGCAGATTTCCTAATCAACATTTTACTCTTTATCCCTGCTGGAAAAAAACCACAATTTGTTCCAGTTATAGATCCTTCCCTCCTATGCCTCTAGGTGAGGTCCTGACTGCTTTAAACAAATGATAACCTCAGTCCTTTCATCAGTGATGAGTTCAAGCCTTGTCATATAAAATTCTGTGAAGAAATTTCTAGAAAAAACTTACCTCCAAATTTAGGAGAAGCCCAAGGAAGAGAAAGTATTTTTCTCCTTCTAATCTTTATTGCATCAGGGTGTTATGACTGGATTTGCTGCAATGATTTTGTAGCCATGAAGTAAGTTTACCCAAAGAAACTGCTAATATACTAGGGTTGACATAAAAGAGTAAGAAAGGGCCCTTACTGATACTGTTAAGCCACCATCCCTGGAGCCATCCTAGCTTCAGGTGTTTTGTTACAGGAGATGTTAATAAGTTTTCTTATTATTTAAGCCACTTCATTTGGTGTTTTCTAGCACTTGGAGCTTGAACTCCTCATAGATGAAGGGACACCAGGGTTAGGATTGAAAGAGGTAGGTCTACAATGAATAGCAATTTCCCTTTCCTTTTCTCCATGAGAAACAATATTACTGCAGACATCTCCTATACTCCAGAACATGTCCAACAATTCAAAGAACACTATCAGGGAGTCAAGGTGTATGTGCAGGCGTGCGTGTGTCTGTGTGCATGTGTGTATGGGGGGTGGTATAAAGAGAATGCACAGTGGTTTCTAAATGTTCAGAAAGCTTCACTTAGGTAAGGTCAGTAATATCATTCATGCAACCAATACACATGGCCGGGACCTCGTCTGAGCAGAGGAAGTGGGGCTCTGACATGGGTCTGCCTCAGCCTGCTCACAGGTGGCAGGAGAGGCAGGCATACACACAGTGTGCACACACCGTGGTGGGGACAGGGGAGGAGACAGGTACGAACCTAGGGGCTGTGAGAACTCAGTCAACCCGAGGTTGACTTTGGATGGGGAGGACTGGGAAGGAGTCTCAGAAAGGAGGCCATTTGAAATGGACCTTGAGAACTGTCAATTTTCAGGAAACCCACAAAAGGTACATTATGTATAAAAACAGTAGAGAACAAAACGGGTAGGCACTGAGAGACTAGAGTATGTCTGAGCCCTGAGAACTTGCAGGAAAATGGGGGCTAGTGGGCCAGAGGGACCAATAAGTAGGTGGGATCTAGAGTGACTTCATCTGCTCCACAGCACTGCCACGTCTGTGTCCATAACATCTGGAGAAAAGGCCATTGTCTATCAGCAAGTCTCAATGACTTTTAAAAAGCATTTTTTACTTTTTAAATTTTCTTACATTGTCGTTGTTCATTTTCAATCACTTTTCTTTATGAGAGATCAACCTTAAGGAACACTAACTGAGCAATTACAGCTGACATCATACTTAGTGGTGAGAAAGTGGATGGGAATACGGCAAAGATAACCCCTCTCTCTAAGCCCATTCAAAATTATGGGCACAAAAAATCATAGCTAGTACAAAAACACCAGAAATGGGGATTAAAAAAATATAAAGATTGTGAAGAAATAAAAGTATTTTGTTTGAGGAGACATAATTTTCTCTACAGGAAATCCCAAAGAATTGACCTCAACAGAACACTCCTCCGCAACAGTAACTCCTAGAATAAGCAATTATAGCAAGTTGCAGGATACAAGGTTAATAAAAATCAGTTACTATACTGATTATACACCAGCAACGAGTGACTGGAAGTTAAAACACAATGTCATTCATAGTAGCACCAAAAATGTAGTATTTAGGTATAAATCTAAATATCTATCTATCTATCTATCTATCTATATGAATATATATGAACGATCTACAGAACATTACAAATTTCTGAT